TAAGGTCTTCGCCCTAGGAAAACTTCCTACTAAACACATTATTAGGGGAATGCCTCCTAGCATGAAAGCCGTTCTCGCTTTCTGCTTTTAAATAACCATTCTTATAAACTCATTTCAACATTAACTCATAAAAGTTCTCGACTTCTATCCTTATCTCAACACAAATCCACTAGGACCACCGCGTTACGTCTCGCCGTCTGGTATCCTACCCTAGTATGCCAACCACGTTACGTCTCGCCGTCCGGTTGCATACCCAAACTCGGCAATGACACTGCGTTACGTCTCGCCGTCCAGTAGTGACCCCAACATACTCGATCAACTGCTGCGTTACGTCTCGCCGTCCAGCAGTGAACCGACCATCTACCGCGTCCAGTAGTGGCCCAACCGCCCGGGGGTTCCTCATACCATCAATCCATACAACATCACACACATTCATACATAGCACAACGCGTGCCTCCACCCTTACAGGCGGTGGGATGCCTCACACACATATCGCGCATACTAGAACAATTAACTAAATAATAACTTGAACGAAAAGCGGAAACTAAAAGACCTACGACAGAGATTTTACCCCCTTTACACTCACATATTTAGTCGCATCAACGTTTTCATTCTCACGCTCAAGCCCCGCGCGTTTTTCCTCTTATGGCTCCTCCTCTATCGGTTCATCGTCTTCCTCTTCAACGACCCTAACCATTGGAGCTCCGCCGCCATTCTCTTCAAGGTCCCTCCTCGGGCCACAATTTAGCGGCCAACTTCGAACTCCCGGCACCCCGGGTCTTCTAGGAGGATAGGGTCGGTGCCTCTCCATCGCTTTACCCCCGCCAGTTGCGATCAGCGATGTCGCGTTCTCGGCCTTCCTTCCGCCTCTAATAGATGCGGCTCTTCCCCTCCTACTAATCAGTGTGAACCTCTTCATCACGCGAGACTACGAAGTTCGATCGACTGCTAACTTTCTCGCCTCCTTTCCCTCCTTAGCCGGATTATCCCAGGACACCTATTAATAAGAAGTTCATACTCTAAGACAACCTTTCTTGATTTAAAAGCCTCCTTTTTATCTACCCAGACGCCCTCTACTCAAAGTCCCATCCTCAAACCTCACTCCAAAGGTCCTTTAACCCCCCATTAAAATTTCTAGAATTAATCCCTTCAAAACCGACTATTTTTCTTAATTCTTTTTATCTTGGACGAATTTTTCACCTGACTAGAACCTTCTTATACTTTTGGAAAATAATTTTCCCATGTCAATCATGAGCACCTATACCCTGAAAAATTATCAAACCCTTAAAAATCCCTCGGAAAGATTTTTATTTGATTAAAAGGGTTAATATTTTCGTATAGCCTGAACTTTGACCAAAATAAACATCCTGACCAATCTTTTCGATCTATAACATCCTGGCCCGAACTATACACCAAAATAAACAATTTGGCCAAACCCGATGTTTGACCGTTAACTTGGACGGTCAAACGCGTTGAGTAACGGTCAACGCGCCACGTCACTGCCAAGTCAGAAGATCTGATAAATATTTAATTTTTTTTTGTTACTTATTTTTGGTTTAACTAAGGTATTAGATGATTTTTTTTAATTTATAATAATTTAAAATTAGGGAATGTGTGGAAATTGTGAATTATTTTAAATATTTTATGCTGACAACCATTTGGGGTAGTTCGGAGCAAGGGAGGAAAATCCATTTAGTGGATTGGGATACCGTGTGCAAGCTGAAGGAGCAAGGAGGCTTGGGACTCCGTAGTGCTACGAGGATGAACGAGGCTTTCATGGTGAAGATCGCGTTGCGGCTATTCACATAATCAGATAATCTCTAGGCCAGAGTTATCATGGGTAAGTATGTGTCCCCAGCTGAAGATGGCTGGGTTCCGAGAACAGAAGGCAGAATATCGAACTTGTGGCAAGGGGTTTCACGGGTTTTTCATCTCATTCCGCAAGCGACGATGTGGTCGATCAAGAGTGGAGCTCAGGCCAGGTTTTGGCGTGACTGCTGGCTGCAGGACGGGCCACCATTGGGGGACTATGCCGCCAATCTCCCTGAAGAAGCAGACCATCTAACAATAGCGGAGTTAGTACTTAATGGGAGCTGGAACCTTGAGTACATTTGGGCTTTCTTACCCGAAGACTTGGTGATGCAACTCTAGCTTCATCCTGTTCCACAGGAGAACCACCCGGATATTCCTCTCTGGAGACTCTCCCCATCCGGAGCCTTTGCGCTGAAATTGGCATACGAGTTAACGGGAGAGGAGACGGATGCAAGTGAGTCTCACCCGGTGTGGAAAGCGGCAAGGAAAATCCCCGGAACGCAACGGACACGAGCTTTCTTCTGGTTAGTACTGCATAATCGGCTACTTACGAATGCCGAGAGATACTGACGTCACTTAACGTCGAATGATAGATGCCCCATTTGCGGAAATGGCCCTGAAACTACTTTTCATGTGATACGAGACTGCTCGTACGCTAGAGCTGCATGGGCAGAGGTCCTCCAGGATGAGCCGGATAATAACTTCTTCGGTTTAAATGTAAGCAGGTGGGCTCTTCACTATTTGTCGGGTCGCAGCACTAGAATCGACCCTACTCTCTTTGCGATTTTTTGCTACACCTTTGTGGAAGAATAGAAACTCCTGGATTTTTTAGAAAAAGCTGGCTTCAATAGCTGAGCTAGTGCAGAGAGTGCGGGGCTTAGAAGGCAGGTGGATGCAGCTCGTCAATGCTCGACGCGGGTGCTGGGAGAGGGTCAGGAGACGGCGGCCAGTTTGATTAGCTGGCAGATCCCCCCGACGGGCTGGGTTTGTTTAAACACTGACGGCTCGGTGACGGGAGCAAATGGCAGTGCACCAGTGATAACACCTAATTATACATATATCCGCCTACACTTTTACATCCTAAAATAACATAAATTGTACCAAGTTCATTCGATTTCCCGATTTTATGCTTGGTTTTGTGTCTGAGTCATGTTTCAGGGTATTCTATCCAATAAGAATGGAATAATGAGTCAATTCAACAAAAAGATGGTTAGGGTTCGAAATCTGGCGTCGGTGGAACTCGAGCCCGCGACGTCCCAGGCGAGGGCAAAGAGCCGTACCACTTCAGCCGCGCCCCCTTTTGTTATCAATATACGAAACCCATCGTTTATTATGGTGATGAATCACGAAAAGAGAGTCAAACCGCAAACTACCAAACCGCAAACTGCCAAACATAAGGAAAGCTGGTTCATTTTGGGATTCTCAAGGGAAGCTAGTAGCTGTAGCTAGTGGCTCACGTCAAAATAAAGAAGCAAGCAGCTGGAGGATGGTTGGTGTCAAATGAAGAAGCAAGTTGGTCCCAAAAAAATAGAAGCTAGCTGGTCAATTACTTGGGAAGCAGGCTGGTCCATATGTAGGAAGAGCAAGCAGGTCCATTATTCGGGAAGCAAGCAGCTGGTCCATTTATTACAAGCAAGTAGCTCAACCAAGTAGCTCAACCAAGTAGCTCAATTTGTACTATAAATAGAGGGAGAGAACACACACTGGGGGGCCTATTTTTCTTCACTTTGCTCTTCCTTTCTTGTATTTGAAGTTAGCCGAAACTCTGTCCACTTTTCATTCCAAACTCTTGTTACCTCTTTTCATTTCGTTAATCATATCTCGTATTTCATCCATCGTGGTTCTCATGTTCGTGTTCGTATTTGGGAATACCGTGGTATATTGCGTTATTGAGATTACCGAAGTAAGCTTCTGTTCTGTGGGGTTTTGATAATCATTTGTGGTGGTAGATTGGTCGGATTCCACCGTCTTCGCCCAACGATTATTCCCCCGTCAGATGTTTGCTAGGTGTAGTCTATTAACTCAATATACATACCGTATTCTCAACCCCTCCGTCTTTGTCGTCGTCATCATCATGGTAATGTTCTCAACCTTCATCGTTCTAAATCTTATCATGTCCGGCTAATCTTCTAGTTGTTCCGGATTTGATGAACCCTAATATGTTTTACTTTGATTGAGTGGTATCTTTGATATAGATGTGTTGTTCTCGTTCTTACGATCTTTTCTCGACTTATCATGTGCAAGTATCAATAGTACGCGTCTATTGTATATTTTGTCTGATACATGTAAATGAGACTGCGAGGTAATTTTGCATGTTAGATCCCTCGTGAAAAGAAGGAATTGATCGGAGCCACCGGCGATGGGGTCACGTAGTTCCTCTGGATTAGCTTAAAAACCTAATACGAAAGTTCATAAATCTGGTTATTGCTTTGGTTTAAGATTTTTGTAAGCCACGGTTTCACTTGATTCTTAAGTCAAAAGGGTGTTAATACATGTGCGAACGGGTTAACACTAAATTGGGAATTTTCACGGTCTAAGATATTAACACTCATCTATGTTAAATTCAACTTGTCTGTAAAATGCATATTAGGGGGATTCACTTCCGGGACAACGCCTTCTCCACTTGATTTTACTTTGAAAACTACTTTATTGTGTTTTTATTATTGCGTGTGTCTTTATTTCTAAACGAAAATCAACTAAAAACGATTGACTAGATAATAGGTAAAAGCTGAGTACTAGCACACGAAGTCTCTGTGGATACGACCTTGCTTCCTGCTATACTACATTAGAACGATAGGTACCCTTGCCTATTTTTCCTGTGATAGTTACGGGCGATCAACCAGCAGGTGGAGTAGTGCGAGATAGCGTGGGAAGGTTTATACAGGCTTATGCAGCTAATCTTGGGAGTGGATCGATAACCCATGCCGAGCTCGCAGGAATAATGCACGGGCTGAGGATCACTTGGGAAGTAGGATTTCGCCATGTTGTGGTTCAGACGGATTCAAAGACAGTCATTGACCTAATCCAGGCGGCCCCAGAGAGACATCCGCATAGCACCTTGGTCTCAGAAATTCGTCGCTAGCTGGGAAAAGATTGGGAGGTGCAGGTCGTGCATGTTTTCAGAGAGGATAATTTTGTTGCGGACTATTTAGCTTCTTTGGGCCACTCGTTGCCTAGGGGCGTCGACAGTTTCATTAATCCGAGCGCGCTCAGATATTGACTGTACTTGCCATTGGGGTCCAAACCCCTAATTCCTCACAAAAAAAATAAAAATTTCCCCACTCCCTCATCATCGTCCGTCCTCCCTCCTTCTCTCACACGCTCTCTTTCTCGTTTTTTCCCCCCGTCGGCCCTCCAAACTCCTCCATCCTCAGGCGAGTGGCGAGCAACCTGACTTTGCCCCTATTCCCGTCCAGCGCTGCCGGCAGATGCCTTGTCCAATCTTCCGTCGCCGAACTCATCGTCCCCATCTATTCGTCAGTAGTAGCTCTGGTGTTTAGCGTTCACATGCAAGTGTTCAATTTGGGTGAAGTAGATTGACCAAATCCAAACCCCAACCCTTCGATATATTCTAGCATTTGAATTTTGATTTGGGGATCTTGATTTGGATTTGGCTATCAAGAGAGATCGAGAGAGAGTAATTGGTCGACAAGGAACTGGGAAGAGGAGGGGATTCAAGATTGGGGTTGTTGTTGATTTGTTTCGGTATATTTCACAGAAAAGGGTTATGGGTTTTGTAATTGAAGGGATGATGATGATAAGTTTGAGATAGATGAATCTTTCCGGGAATAAGCAGTGTCGATTAACAGTTTCCATCTGTTTAGCGTCTGCAGATTTCTTCATTAAGCATAATGTTTGGCGTCAGGAGAACATTGGCCTCCTGTGAAAGGGGGCTTCACATGTTGTCCCGTGGCGATGGTCCTTCGGAGACATTGAGAAGAAGGGTATCAGAGTTGGAGAAGTTGAGGAAACGGAAGAACCCCAGAAAGCATGAACTTTTTGTGCAAGTTCCTGAATCGTTGAAGTTCCTCGACACTGCTACAATGCCGATGATTCTCACTGTTGTGGGTACTGCACTCGTCGCAAAGCTCCTAATGATGGTATATTTCAACTTCCTGCTGTCTTACCCTGGTTTAAGGTTATCCTTCTTGACTTAGAATATTACAATTGATGATGAACATGATTGTTATCAGCAACACGAACGAGTCCCTGGAGCTTGGTTTTGGGTTGCTACTTTAGCTGATTTTAGAATTATGCTTTAAAATGTAATTTCCACTGAATCAAAAGCATAACAAGGACCCATTTTGCTGATACGTTTAGTGCGCACTTGCACTTAGACTGGTATTTCTTCATTTCATTATTAGGACTTTGGTTTGTCTCTCCTTTAAGTAACCTATTAGTAACTAACCATGGATCAAGTTTAATGGATCGTAGTCTTTTCACACCTTAGGCATAGTTAGAATTGTTTCATATGTCTTTTATTGCTTTTTCTGTGCTCATTGGTCTGTTTTTCTTGTAACTGATCAGTGGCTTTTCTGATTTTAATCTATCAATAGTGTACCTAATGATGTGATCATTGATTATCACAGTATGATCAATCGAAATCAGAAGAAATGATCGAGCGCAAAATTGAGCATGCTCCTCCAGGTCAAGGCACCGTGAGGATGCTTAGTCGTGAGGAATGGGAAGAAATTCGAGAAGTGAGGCCTAGAACTCCTTTTGAATCTAAGCTTGCTCGACCAAGAGCCCAAATAAGAACTGATGATGCCATCAGCGTGGTAAGTGAGCCTCTTTTTCTGCACTTTGTCATCTAATTTCTGTTCATCGAAATTTGTGTAAAAAATTAGTATGAGTTGGGACTATTGCATCGTACATTTGTTCTGTTCAATTCAGTTTCCCTTTCAGTTATCAATAAGCTATTTAAAATTATATCGCTATTGTGATGAGTTCACTCATAAGGTGCTACATGCATTACTCACGAAGTATTTGCATCATTCTATGGTATATTTTCTCGCACTTCACTGGTGAATCCTAATGCAACTGACAACTATATTGACTCTTCTGTCTAGCAAAGATGTTTGCCAACCTTTTTGACCATTTATGTATATCCGATGCTCACTGTTTTTAGTGTTTATGTTCATGCATTCCCAGGTTATCTCCATTCATTCACTCATATTCCAAATATTTCCATTCTTGACGCCATGTCTTAATGTCTATGTTGTATGATATTCGTTACTTGTAGACGATTCCTTGGATCAAAACCTTTTCATGTTGGCCTCGCCTAAAAAACTCTTCATGAATTATTTTTTAGGGTTGTCTTGAGGTGTAGAAATTGTTTTGATGCATCCACGCATCCCGCTGCAGTTTTCTTCTTACCACTTATAATAAGTTGTTGCAACGAGCTGTGGTATTTTGTGGATGCTATTGATGAGCATTAGTCGTACTTGTTGTGTGCAGAGAGATCTGAAGGATTGGACCATAGATGTCCTGACAGATGGTTTCACTCGCATTGAAGAAGCCACCAAACGCCATTAGCTGCATGTGAAAATGCTGATGAGTTTGATCCTTGCATACTGAAACTAACACTATGAATTTGATCACTCCCGTTGAGAAGGAGAGAGGAAGTGTTTGTGGGAAGAAGAAGAAGAAGAGTGACGAAAGGTTTGGTCGACTCATTTTACTTGGTCAAATAGTTAAAACAGAAAGGTTTGAAAGTGTTTGACTGAGTTTGACCAAATGCAGTGAAAATGAAAGTGAACACGAGGATCTTATAGGATGATCAGTTTTAGTCAAAATTGATATGATATGTTGGGTTCACCTTGCTTTATTCATTATGATGACAAATCAATATTTGAGTCTGTGACATGAGCTAGCTATCTATATTGGTCAAAGGTTGGGCTTCGAGCTTGCTCATTATCCTCAGAGGTTGCGATGAAGGTTTAACAATATTATTTATAAACTAGCTTTTACTCGATCTGTTGGTCGGTGGACCCAAATTTCGTTTTAATTTGTATTATTTATGGTTATCAATATTTATATTTTAAATCATTTAAATATTTAGTCTTAGCATGATGTGAAAGTAATATTGTGGCACTCGTTGATTATACTATGGCTAATTATTTCATAGGTATTTTTATTTATCAGTTGGTCCTAACTTATTGTTTTCCTTTCTATTTTCACAACAAAAATGTGAATATTCAACTCTTCTTCTTCTTTTCATTATCTTTTTTTATATTTAGTGACAACAACTAGTCGTCGCGTCTTTCCTCGTGCCTTCAAAGGGAGCGGTGGCTGCCACTGACTGTCTCTCTCACTCCCCCCTCTACATGAATGCATTTCTAACCTCTTCCTCTCCTTTGTTAGAGACGAAATGGAGGAATCGATTTTTCATTGATGTTGTACATACGTGGTTGTCTCCTCTCCTCTTGTAGTGTAGTTTTTTTTGAAAATATATTGTCTAGCGGAATCTCAAAGAGGAAGATCTTTTATTTTCCTAAATTATGTGGTAAATTTATAAATGGTGCCTTGGTGCCTAGAAGTATAATAAAGTTTACAAATTGTCATTATTTGTGCGACGGGATTTTCTTTGGCCGGCGATGCCCTTTCATCCTTTCTTTCAATGATCCTCTGCTATACCATTGCTAATCAAGGGGTTCAAAGAAGGTGGAAGACTGGTCACCCAAAGACATCAGCAGGGAGGGTTACGGTGAGTCAGCTGGCATCCCTGCGTTGGAAGAGAGTGCAAGAGGACGACAGCGTGTATTCATCACTTGGGTGGCGTTCATTCACGATAGCCGCCGTCAAGAGAAAACGGGACCATGGTTGTTCGCCTGGTCCTGATCATGGAGAATCGACAATGAAGCGTGTGTGCCGACCCAAACGTGTTATGTGGCATTTCGTCTTACCTTCCTCGGACGTTGTTGACGAGGAATGGCGGATGGCTAATACTAGTCTGGTTGAGATTCGCTCAACTCGGGACCATGCCATAGGGATGGATTGTCGGAGTAACAAACTGAACGGGCAACTCAGACCCCAAGATGGGGCGAGTTCCGAACTTAGATCCCGCGGTGGGGCGAGTTCGGCTCATATATTTGCAGGTCTCCCGATGCGGCCTAAGACGATTCTAACCTGTCAGAGGGAGGCGTACTGGTCTCGGTTTCCTGCCGACCAGCCTTTCGCCGGAATCTATCGCCGGTAAAAATAACAGATGTCCTATCGAAGGATAATAACCTAACGGTTTTCTCGGGTATGGATAACGGTCTTGCTGATTTTCTGTTGAACCGTATCGGCAGAAGGGTAGGGAATCCCGCTAAGAGGGTTAAAAAATTTAAAAAGATTAGTTTCCCAACCCGACTAGAGTCCTCGACTCCTTGGAACTATGTGATCGATCTCGGTTATTTAAAGGGTCAAGTTAATATTCCTCTTCCTCATTATATCCGTGGAGAGGAAACAAAGGCCATCAACGATCGTGATCAGACCACTGAGCAGGACTCATATTCGGGTATGTGGGACGTTCTTTCGCCGGAGTTTATTTTTTGGCTCCGGCATGACGGGCTCCCTTTCCTGAACTTCCATTTATTGTTTTCTAGTTACCCATGGGTTCCTGTTACTTCTCCCCTTGACAGTGTGCATGGTTCTACAATAGGTGTTCCCTGTTTGTTGCAAACGAGCACCATGGCCCGCATTGCTAGTGATCAGATTGTGGAGTTTTCCCTTGCTGAGGTTCAATCTGATAGGGTTCGCCGAGCTAAGATGCTGCTTGGGCGCGTTTTCTCGGCAGAGAGGGTGACAACGACGGAACTGCGTGAGGCGGTCAATAATCCTTGGCAGGGTCAGGGACGGATCAAGGTACGGGAGGTGGCTCAAGGATTGTATGAGTTCACCCTCCCGAACGAAGCATCTAAAAACTGGGCTCTACAACGCACTACTTGGGTGATCAAGGATAGAATCCTTCACCTCCGAGCTTGGGTGCCTAATATCACAGCCTGGACGTTCGAGGAGATGGCAATTGCCCCATTCCGAGTCCAATTGTGGGACGTGCATGATGATTGCTGCTCCCAACAGTTTGGGAGAAAAGTGGCGAGCTCAACTGTTGGGCGAGTCCTTGAATCTGGTGTGTTCACTTGTACTGACACGGGCAGCAGCTTCATCAAGGTGAAGGCGCTTGTCGACTTTTCCAAACCTCTTCGCTCTCAAATCATGGCTTCTAATGACGAGACGGGGGCATTCTGGATTCGTTTCAAGTACGAGCACCTTCCCAGCTTCTGTTACAATTGTGGTAGGGTGGGGCATTTTTGAAAGGAATGTAACTTTGATCCTCCAACGAGGAAAGAGCGATTTAGTCCTCACATGACGACCAAAAAAATGGGCAGGAAAGTCTTTGAGGAGGCAGAGATTGAGAACCGTTTTCATGGCCAATCGAATTCGGTCTGGATTAATACTAATATTCAGGGAACGAGTGGGGGGATGGACAAAGGGGTTCTCGATCGACTACCATGATGCAAAAGGAACAGTCTTCGGCCAAATTTCCAATTGTGGAGGATAGCCCAAACTGGTTGGGGTCCTCGGACAACCCTTTTGCTACTGTTGAACAGCGCCCCTCCAATAAGGGGAAGAGCCCGCCTCGTTTCCCGGTTTCTAGACAACCCAAGCTCTCCCTGGGACGACAGGGCCGCCGGGGCAAGAATAAGCCGGTTGATGCAACTAGTCCCATGGAGATTGATGGGGCAAATTCCCAAGCCAAGGTGAAGCATCGGCCCGGCCCAAATCCGAAAATATTGCGGGCCAAGGGAGGGGGTGCTCGTAAGATTGCTAAGTCGTTGGGTGACCCTGCTGTGCCCTGTCAAGCTAACCCACCTCCTCTCTCTGACATTATTGTGGACGATGGAGCGGTAACAAGACGACGAAGAATCATTTTAGAGGAAGAATCGGAGGAAGAATTTATCGTCCATGACGTTCCGCCTCGATCCCAGGCGGCAGCAGCGCCGTTGCAGAGCCAGCCGGCTGATAGTCGCCCAGCGACGTCGGTGTTGACTACGGGCTATGGCGGACGAAGCTCAATGGGTACAGGAAATGGGGGGGGGGGGAGAATCAGACTCTACCTAGGCGCATGACGGTGGGGGCAGCAGGCTCTGATCCTAAGAAGCGCAATCCTTTGGCTAAGTCGAGTAAAGGCAAGGCCACTGCACGACCCAGAAAATCCGTCAATAACCCTAAGGCTGTTGCTGATAAGCCGGGTTTAAAATGTGAGGATGGGCCTGTAAACAATGAGGAGGGCGACTTGGCCTCGGTTGGCATGTCTAGTATGTCGAAAGTGGAAGCTTCCCAGGCTCCTAATGGCCCTTTGAACTCGGAGGATACCACTTCGGAAGGGGAGGCTCAGCCCTTTGCGATACGGCGCCGTTCCCCGGTGCTCAAAGGCAAATTTCGACGTCTGGCCCCGCTCGTCTAAAGTGAGCCAGGTAGTGCGTGCCTTTGAGAAGGGCTTGGCGATGGATGATGGTGCGGAGGGGATAGATTCGGCAGAACGCTTACCTAGTGAGGGCGTGGTTAAGCAGACGTCGGGAGGAGATACTTTTAATGAGCTTTCCCTAGAGGAATATGGCACCAACTTGCTCGATCCTGAGACGGGGCTCAAGAAGCGTCCTTTTGATGAGATTAAAGGGGAGCTGGCAGACGATCCAACCCCAAAGAGGCAGTCCATTGAGGAGACCGATGGTCTGGAAAAGGTGGAGGAAGCCAGCCTTGAGTGGCCCCAGACGGATAAATGAGGATTCTTGCTTGGAATGTGAGGGGAATTGGACCATCCCTCACATTTCAAACTGCTGTTGGTTTAGTGCATTCTAATAAGCCGGATCTCGTGTTTTTTTGTGAAACACGATCGAGCCGCAGAGTAGTCTCCCGTCGTATGCGGGGTTTAGGTTTTCAGCTTTCTCATTGTTTCTTTGTTGATGCGATTGATGCATCTGGCGGGTTAGTTGTAGCTTGGTCCCCCGGGGTTGATGCCTCGGTGTTTTTCCATTCGAATTTTTGTATTTGCACTCGTATTAATGAATCGGATTTTTCCTATGTCGTGGTGTCCGTTTACATTAGTTGTGATTTGGCCACTCGTGCCGGCCAGCTTGCCCATTTACATGATATTTGTAATTCGATTCGGCTCCCCTATGTTGTCATTGGTGACTTCAATGCTACCCTCCATGAAGGCAAAAAGGATGGTGGGAATGCCTGGAATATTTCCCAGTCGCTGAGCCTACGTACGTTTATCCAAGATATGGGTCTCCATGATCCTGGTTTCCAGGGAGATCCATTTACTTGGACGAATAAACGAATGGGTGCTGCGTGCATTCAAGAGAGACTGGATAGGGCTCTTTGTTCCCAATCCTGGGTTGACCTGTTTCCTGAAACTCGGGTTAAACATTTCACGGATCAGGGTTCTGTCCATCGAGCTCTTCTCCTCTCGGATAAGGCGTACAGAAGGACGTCCAGGCCTCTGTTCCGTTTTGATGCCCGATGGGCGGATAACCCTGAGGTTAGAGCAATGGTAAGTTATGTGTGGCAGGAGGATATCCAAGGTACCCCCATGTTTCGGCTTTGGGAGCGCCTCAAGAAGCTTCGCCACCTTCTATATGACTGGAGCAGGGCGGGGACTACGAACTCCCTTCGGAATATAAAAACCCTTCAGGGTGAGATTGATAGAATCAAGCTAATTCATCTAATCGACTGGGATTCAATTCGTAGCCTGGAGATTGAACTATCCCGCCAGTGGGAGGCGGAAGAGGTCTATTGGAAACAAAAGTCTAGGGTACGATGGTTGGCAAAAGGCGAAAAAAATTCTTCCTATTTCCATACGGTAACGAGATCTCGTCGTAAAAGGAATTTTGTGTCTGGCTTGCATAATGAAGAGGGTGAGTGGGTAACAGAAGAGAGTGGGAAGGCCAATATCGCTACAGAGTTCTACCAGGGACTGTTTACCTCTGAAACTCAAGTCCCTGACATGACTTCCAGGGTGGCGGCTCTCCCTATCATGAGAAGTGTCACAGCGGATATGAATGCTAAATTGACGGAAGAAGTTCTCCCCAGT